GGGGCCCGGGCTCCTGGTCCGAGGGGGGGCCCGCCCTGGAGGGGGGCCTGGGGCAGTTACCCATCGCAGCTCCCATGTTCAGCAGCTGGCTGAAGATGCAGCTCTGAGGAGGGTACGACCCGCAGAGACTGGGGAAGACAAGGGATCGCCTTGGGGCTCCGCGAAGCCGGGACCTTTCCTCCCTCTGGTCCTCCAGGCGCCATAACTACCTGATGTAGGGGATGCCTTCCGTGAGGTTCACAGTCTGGTTGGCCACCGCAATCGCGAAACTGAAGGAGGGGAGGACATCAGAGGGCACGGCTCCACGGCCAGGCTTCGCCCGCTCCCGGCCCCGGGCCGCCCCCTCGGGCCCGCGCACCCCGCGCGCACTCACACGGTCCAGATGCTCGAGGTGGCCCACAGGGCCAAGAAGGCAGGCAGCAGGCACAGGAAGCCCCGCATGCCCGGCCCTGCCGAGGAGGAAAGGCGCCGGTGAACCTCGCTTTCTCTGCCTGTCCCCCCACTTCCTCCACTCCTTCCTCCGTCTGCTCCCCCTCCCCCCTTTTCTCTCTCTGTCAGGTGGGAAACCAGCCCCAAGCGTCCAGGTGTATTCGGTCTTGCCTGCCTGCCTCTGAGACCCCCACTGGCCCCCAGGCAGAAGCATGGGCAGAGGGGGGGCCAGCCGGGGGGACAGGCCAACAGGGGGGCTCTGGTCAGCTGTGCCAGCTCTCAGCCTGGGGCACTTTCCCTATCTTTCAAATATCCTTTCACCCCCATCTTGAAGCTTCCCCCAGCGGCCCTCCCCTCACCCACCCTCAGAGTCCCGCCACTGCCCCCCGCTGGGCTCCCCCAGGATGCTCACCCGCTGGTCTCGGGCTCTTCTTCAGGACCTGGGGCGACTGGGGCTGGTGAATGGCTCCCAGGAAGAAGGGCTGGGGTGTGGGGTGGGGCTCGGCGGGGCAGCGGCTTTCAGTAGTGCAAAGTCCAGCTGGAAACTCCAGCAGGACCTTGAATGTCAGGACAAGAGTCTGGCTGCTACTTTGTAGGGACCTCACCCCCAAAGTGCCACTTCCAGTCTGCTCAGAACCGGGCAGCTCCTTAACATCAGGGGGCCCCCAACTTCCTTCCTCTCACTTTATAGGTTCAACCTGCCAACCCCCAGCCCTTATCCTCCCCAGGACTCACAAGTCAGAGTCTATGACTCTCTAGCCTTCCTCCCCAGGGCACCCAGAAATCCACCCCCCCACACACACCCCTGGTCCCTTCTGGAACAAATGCATTCCTTTCTAGCCCCAGGTGTCCACTTCCCAGCTCTCACCTCCTCTGAGACCCAGGATCTGGGCCTGGGGGCCCACTTCCTTCCTCAGTGCGCTTCCTGTCATGGGGTGGGCTGCTGGGGGTGGGCCCGGTGAC